GTTCTGAATTGTGTGGTAGCTCCACTAGCTAACGTAATAGATGAGGATTGAGCCAAATCTTCCATAATCATAAACGAGGCTAGGGGAACAATCTTTGTTTTCTGGAAATCTGTCTAAGCAAAAGCCCGAGGTGTTGAAGTCAGTGTCATGCATTAATGTGTCTGAATAGTAGCTGTTTTCACACTTGATGCTGAACTAATTGTATACTATGCCCCATTTTCTGAATTGCCTTAAGGTGTCACTAAGAACCAAAGTGGGATTTCTAACAGTACATTTATAAGCATCAAAACTTGGGCACCATCAATTGTTATGGTGTCCCTGACAAGAATTAACAGTCAGAGAGACAGCGATTAGAATCAATTGTTGAGACACAAAAGGTTACAATACATACAAAATGCCTGCAGCAACCACCCAGAGGTATTGACAGCATGATTTTATGCACTCTGTGGGTGGCATAAAACCCTGCTGCAGGTAATAGACAAGGCCCATACGTATGTACGATGCAATTTGTTGATGATTGGAGGGCTATAATAACTCACACTAAACAGTGCTGTTTAGCCAAAACCTCACCTATAGTAGATCTGTATAAGCTAACGGTGAGCACCTTTTTGTCAAATTCGACCAGTGACATTCTTATAATTACAAGTAAATGAACAATTCTGTGAATTTAAAAATCGAGGCATATAGGGATGGTGTAAAAAGAAAGGGAGGCAAAATAGGGATGGGATACATGAAGCATGGTTTAAAGTACAGATTTGAGCACGCTGACACCCCGACCCTATCACACAATCCCTATATTGTTGCCTGGTGTGCCACTCGTAAAGTCCAAGTTTGAAGAGTGAAGAAGTAAGAAAAAGACTGTCATTGTTCGAACAATATGTGGTTGTCATGGAAGCATGTGTTTGTTGTGGAAATGATGTAATACACATGTGTACCAAGTTTCAATCTCCATGCATACCGTTAGCGAGAATTGCCTGAGGCTGTTTGTTGTTCAAACAATATGTAGTCGTCATGGAAACATGTATATAATTGTCATGGAAATGATGTAATACCCATGTGTACTAATTTTCACTTCTGTGCGTGCTACCATTAGAAAGTTTGAGGAGTGAAGAAGTAAATTTAGAGAAAAATGCCTGGGGATATTAATTGTTGTTGTTCACAACCATGTACTGTTGTGATTCGTTCACATAGCTACCTCTTACCATTTGCCAGTTACACTGACACATGCGATCTCATTATAATGTATTGCCTGGGGCTATTTGTTGTTGTTTACAGTAAATAATATTGTTTACAAACAAATAAGTATGACCAGCCTCTTCGGGTGATGGATATCTACATTCTTACAAAATTACATTACTTTATCGTATTTAGTTTTTGAGTTACGCGAGTTCAATCTGAAGAAGGAGAGATGAACGAAACTCCCTATCATAGCCCTATACATCTATGATGCTAGGTACCATGCCCATCCCTATATACTAAGTACTACTGTACTTAGTGATAGACAAAGCATCTACTGACCATCTGTGTGGAGTAACTGTTATTCTTGCTAAATTGCAGTTGTGACTTAGTGTTACGTTTTCCTTTTAGGAAAAAAGACTGTAGGAGACTTTCCCCGCCACAACTGGCTAATCATTTATGGATTATTGTTAGGTCTCAATTACACTGTTTTCATCATGTTTACTCCATCAATATACCACTTTGTAACTGCAGCTAAGGATTCTTCTGAAGAATCAGAGGTAACATTTGGGAGTTGGGAGGGTAAAGCCCCGCCTTTTAATACGGAATTGAGAGTAATTTTGTGCATGACAGATTAAGGATGTGGTTGATGCCAAAATAATTATTTATCAATATTGTTTTGAATGATGGTGGAAAGCTTGGAGCTCTTTATATGGGTGTACAGTTACAGAAGCCGAAAACATTTGGTACATGCTCTCTGTAATGGGGGTTAAAGTGTGATGTGAGTAATTGGTTTGCTAGGGAGTCAGTAAGGTCAGTTGTTTTTAATATCGAAACAATATACTTGGGTGTTGGGTTATGGGGCATTGAAAGTGTAAATGAGGTGTTGGTTAGTTGCTTAACAGTAACAGGTATATTAGTTTTTGCTGTCATTAGTTGGGCCAACGGAAGAAAGCCAACAAGCTCAGACAGTCGCTTCAGAGTTGAAGGAGAAGCATAAATCTTAAGTGGTTTTCTTTGTTAAGTAATAAAGCAGTTAGTGGGATACGGGCTTGATACTGTATATATGTTAGCTCATAGATATGAGGCCAAGCCGAAGTGCAGGTAGCTGCAATTAAAAAAAAAGGCATGTTAAACCACGGAGAGGTCAACATTTGAAATGCTGGAGTAATGCGAGTTTTTCTTCAAGGCCGAGTGGTTGGACAATTATTATCTTAGTTGGTATTTAGTTCATAATGGGGAGAGTGCTGATGAGAGGGAGAGGAGAGACTATTTGGAGGAGGGAATGACAGGATGTTCAGTAAGGTGTTGGTTTTTAACTGTGTGTGATGGTGTTTGTTAAGTTCGGGTTAGGGACCCATGTATTCAACAAGGAGATGGGTAGGCATGGAGTAAAGGAAGGGATGAAGGAGTGCCTAATGAATGTAAAAGTGTGACTCACGGTTGACATTGCAGGAAAATATGTTTATAACTGTCTTTGGTGTGGCTTATTTTTAGCCCTCGCGCACATGCGCAGCGAGGGTTACAGTACTTGCTTTGTCATTCAGTCCATCCGTATGTCTGTCTGTTACCACGTTTTCTGCCACTACGCGCAACGAGACAACAAAATAGCGATACCAACAGGTTCATTTTTACACTGGCTTGATTTAAAAAATTGTGATCTTCGTAGAACTACTCTGAACAAGCCAATATGCTAATTAGTACAGGCTTAACCTTGACCTGATCCGCTTGCTCTGTGTACCTCGGAGGCACAAAGGCACAATGAAGGGTGTGTATCAACTCATGCATGCTATCTACTACTGTACCATGTGCAGTTCGCCGAGGGCTTGTACTTTAGTGCTTTTCATCTGACACATTTTTAGACGCGTAATGCCTTTGCTATGGGTAAATTTATCTATTGTCTGCATACTTTATATTGGCAATCTAGCAACGCAATTGGTGCATTGAAGCTTACACAATTTCTGAACCCAGGTTCTTAATATTTATATACCTGCATGGTTAACTGCTAGAATAGATTGAACAGACTCAAGTACTTTCATTAGTTTGTATGTGATTTCTACAGAAAAATGGCTCAAATACACTCTGGCCAGGATTGAATGGCACTGAAAGAGACTATGCTTTAGTATCAGTGTCGTTCGCATTGTTTGAAACTATTCTTTTCCCCTTACCAATGCTGATGATGGATTCACTTCCATTCACTCTTCTTATGCTACTAACATTTTCCCTGTTCACTGTTGCTGGGGTGGTGTACGGATGTGCCACTCATATATGGATGGTCTTTGTTGCACGTGGTCTAATGGGTGCTGCGGCTCTTTTTGCATCTTCAATTATTTATACCTATACTGGAGAAATTGGTTCTATTATGGATATGGAGCGACTAAAGATGAGAAAAAAGCCAATGAAGGGCACCTTGTACTTGGCAATCACATTCACCACTCATGGATACCACATCATTAACCCTCGGCGCGCATGCGCAGCGAGGGTTACGGTAGTTGGGTTTGTCTGTCTGTCTGTCTGTCTGTCTGTGTGTGTGTGTGTGTGTGTGTCTGTCTGTTACTCGTCATCTCACTTCTCGAGTGTTCGTTCGTCTCACAAAGGATACCACCTAGTGAACGGGCAATGAAGGTCAGAAAATATGTGGGGTTTTCTCTGAAACTGCTCCGTTGCAGAGCTAGAGCGCGAAAAAGCTAATATGCAAATAGACAACGGACGGGACGGCTTACCACGGTCTGATCGATCCGCGTGCTCTGCGTACCTCAGAGGCACCAGAAGATGCAACGCAGGGCGTGTATCGCCTCTCGCATGCTATCTAGTAGTGTAGTTAGCCCGCGTCAGACTCTGCGCGAGCTGGGAAGAGACCACGAGTAACAGCTAAAACTAAACCCAGCCTATCAATTAGTGGTACGGCGCATGCGTTTACTTACGCGTGCGCGTCACAATGCGCCGAGGGTTTGCACTTCAGTGCTTTTCATTCATTTTACTTGGTAATAATGCTAATATACTTACCTACATAGTGTGACTGAGTGTGTGTATGTCCATTGGTTTGCCTGGTAACACTGTAGTGGTTAAGCACCAGTAAGTATGGATGTCATCAAACTACCTTATGATTATGGTTGTAGCTTTTCTTAACTCATGATTCCCCTTTCCACGCTGGCTTGGTGAGTGAGAACATTAGCAAATAGTTTTGCTATGTATTTGCGCCACGCCAACCGTGTCATATGGTTAGGGCAGTCCTGAAAACGACCTATCAACCCTACGTCCTGCCTGCTATCCTGACAGCCACTAATTTCTCCCACTGGTCAGAGTTGCGTGACCAATCATGGCTTTTTTTGAACTGAAAACAAAATTTGCTCTTTACACGGACATGGCGGATCCTCATTCACTTACTACAGTAAGCACAATGCTGACAGCTTAGTAGCGACGTTCTTTTATGTGCTATGCAGCAAACACGACAATTGCGCATGCATGTGTACGTCTAAAATCTGAACGTTTCTCCCTGGTTTCTGGTGCCCCACTTGTCACTGCTGAAGGTGGGCAGGTGTGTGATTTTCCTTTAGTATTATAAACAGTGTGTTATTGGCACAAATATCAGAAAAAAACAAACCTTTTTGTGGTTTTAAAACACTTGGCTGAGGCAATAATCGGAGTGTAGGGCAAGATAGTGATAGACGATAATACGGACATTGTGAGGTTAAAAATACACTTATCTGACTTTAAGTGTTATGGAGATACGTACATTTCTTGTATATAGCTACTGCGCTTTTTAGCAGTGTAAACTTGTAAACAATAAAGTAATTGCCTGTTTCTGGGGAATGGGTCATAACAGAGTGGCACTGTAGTATAACATAAACTGGAAGTCTTGCATCAACTTACATATGTATAACTAGTTTGCATCTTTCATTAGCCAGCCAATGATCCTCGCACACCTCCACAACAAACCCAGAACTCACTAAACATCTACGGATATGATGCACGATACAATGACATATTACTAATGCCATTTATGTTACAACCCATGATACACTTTCTATCCCTTTCCCCTGTTCTCTGGTATTTCCACCTATTCACAAGGTATAAATGCAGGTCTGGTTAGGATTCCTTCAGTAAACCCATATCGTCTGCCCGGATGGTTTCTGACTGCTCTCGGTGTGACTGCTGCAATCGGTTCTTCTCAGAGACAAGGCCCTGGACTTGTAGGTTCAAGTCAAGCTGTGACATAACAAGTGGTTGGAGTGATTTCCGGAAAATGAGGTCCAAGTCAAAGAGCTATCTAATAGTATCCAAGTCATAGAGTTATGCTAGGATATCTTAGTAGCCAACCAGGTCCACTGTCCACTTTCTGTAATGCCCTATCACACAAGCATCTCTGCCAGAAGGTGGTCTGTGCTCTTGGTGTTGGTCATGTAGCTGGATCACATCTGGTACAACCACTAAATGCATAATTGGCTCAAAACAGACTGAGCACAAGTCTTACTGTAAGGAGCTGTTACATATATAACAACACCTTATTAACTACATTCCAGAGTGCATAGCTAACTGTTGCTCAGAACCTGATTGAACACTTTGTTGGGTAGTAATTTAATATTTCGCATGTTTCATGTATTTAAAATAATAATTATTATGGTATGTGACCTGCTTGTACCTAGATGACTAGGTGGGCTCAGTTTTTGTAATACCTGTTACTTCCTTGACTTTGTGATAGGGTGTTGCATTTGTGTTTGCGAATGCATATGTCACAGGACAGGCATTTGCTCTGCTATATACACTTGTGTCACCCATTCTGAGCGACCAGTTTGGCTTTACTGTAGATAATACAGCTCTGTTCTTCGCTGCACTAGCAGTTGGTTGGGTTAGCCTCACCTTTTGTTCAGTAAGTGTGTTTGTTTGGAGTTTAGATATTTTATAAGTCGTATACACTTGCTGCAGGATTTGTTCACAAGCACTGAAATGCAATAATAGAGTAATGACGGCATTTGCTCTGGTGACTATTGTCATTGGAAATACACTGATTAGTGACTGGCAGGTATTATATTACAAGGAAAACCCTTGTTACCTACCATCACCTGGTGATAATGGAACTACTGATGTGGTGGATGGTAATAACATAACTTCTTCATTTGAGAATATCAATGATCACATCAATAGCACATTTGAGTGGAATATTGACAACTGCGAAGGTAAGAGTACTTCCAATCACGAATGTTTCTGGAACCCTTCGTCTCGGGTTACTGGAGATCATTGTCACACTTGCCATAATGCTTGCCTCAGCAAACAAGCATCTCTCAATTTGTACCAGTTCAATATTGGGGTGCTGTGTCTAGCTGTTGGGGGGACTCTTGATTATGTATTCAACTTTGCACTCTTGTCTGACATAGTTCCTCCTGAGAATCAGGTAAACCACCTCACAATACATCGCTAATTTTGTATTGCTTTTATAGGGAAGTATAACAGCACTCACTGTTACCAGCGGGGCATTCGCAAGAGCTGTAACACCTCTCTGGTGTGAGTATATATGTCCAATTATATGTATTATGAATGTTAATGGTAATGTTATACCCCAGATACAGTAAAGGTTTTGATTACCCTGTGGCTCAAATGCACAGCGAAGGGTGCAGTACTTGGTCTTTTGTTTGTCCTTATTCTTGCTCTACAAGCTAGGAGGCAGTCTATGAGCGATGTAACTACAAGAGCATGAAAACTAATAACGAGTGCATTCAAGAGATGTGGTGTGAAAGTAAACTGTTAAAGCAAATAGCCTTGCATAATCCGTGTGCATTACGAAAAGACTGGGTTCATTGTATATTCAGCGCAGATGCGCTAGAATGTTAAAGAACTTGATTCTGTCTGTCTTTCTGCCTGTCCGGCTGCCTGCCTGTCTATGTATGCCTTCTGCTTACACTTGCATCAGGATACAGTAGCTTATTGTAACTAGTGGATATTTTAGCATTCTTTGGACGAATGGAGTGTAATGATTACCTGCTGAAAGCCTAGCTGTTGTTTTTATAGCGGCAAGGTCTGCCATTACTAATAGACATGCATGCTTGTTTGTTACAGCTGTGACATGAGCTTAACAGACATGCACGTGTGGAAAATGTTTCGCCATCCGTCTAGCGGTCCTTGAAAATCCGGACGCATTACTGATGCTGTTAATAAGTTTGTTGGTGCTAGGTTTTTTCACTGCAATGTGAAAAGCATTACTGCATGCTAAAACTATCGCATAGCCGCTGGTTTTGTGCTAAGGCTTTGCACACCTTTCATTCCACAAAGCTTCAATTCAAATGTTCTTTCGGAATAGTGAAGTAGCTTGCTATAACAGTGTGATTATTATCAATGGTCTTGTTGATTTGTAATACAGATGTTGAAAGCTATGAACAGACTGGAAAGCACACCTTCCTCCCCCTATCAATAACTAATGCAACAATTCTGTTAGTGCTTGTTGCACTGGCTGTCCTCTACAAAGATCTCGCTCCAAGGTGTAGTACTGAGGCCAAAGCTGCAACCAATGCTACTGCCTTAGAGTGTTGAATAGTGGATGGTCAATGAGTAGCTATAATGTTTTTGTAACTAACTCCATTTCTGGTTGAGTGTCATTATTTACACAGTGCATACATAGTGTTTTGTAATGAGCAGTCAAAGAGCATCCTCAGTGTGGTGTAAGTACATTAGTACTTAGTAGAAGTGTAAAAATCATTTCTTCAAAATTAGGGATGGCGCAAATTATGAAAAAGGATACCAACAAGAGTATGCTTCAGCCGAAAACAAAAATGATATTATACATCCATCCCAACACCTTTCTCTCTTTTGCTCTATATAAAAATGTGTGGAGACTTGCATTTAAGTATGTAAGCTAATTCAGACTTGAGGGAGGTTGTGAAAGATGTAGGGATGGAACATGCTCAGAGTCCATGTATAGTCTATGTTAGCACACATGGTTACATCAATTCTTTCTTTTTTTCTGTACCTGTAATACCACAGTCCTCGTTATCCCTTTCAGATGTGGGGTTGACCTTGACCTTTTTACACTTTGGGGCCACAGTTTTGTCTACACTAGTGAGCTTTTTCTTTCTTCTAGAGACATGTGGCATATCATAGAGAGGAAGGTCTGGTCCATGGGTTTTCTGAGGTGGTTTACTTCCTCAGGAAACTCACACTAACACGGATTGACTGGGGATCAAAGGCTGTTATGAACAGTGACCTCTATAATTATAATCCCTGAATAGAGCTACATATATATGCCATTCCATCACTGAACACCTCCTCAGACAAGTCAAGTATGGCACAGTATAATGACAGATGGTAAGTTTCCGATACACATATATAGAAATTCTCCATCACCATGAACCTGCTTCTGATCATGTAAATCTTGCAAGGAGCAGGTACATTATCAAACTGCATATTCACATCCTGGGCTGCTATTGAACCAATATATAGCACCATTGACCAGTCTGGCTTTTGTGTCATGTTGCGACGTTGCATGACTTGTGCACTGACAGCAAGGGCTTCCAACCCAGCAGTCTGTGTTCAGTTTATCCAAATACTCAATGACCTTCTTGGTTGCCTGCTGTTTCGTCAATCTCATCAGTTCATGAATAGAATAGATGTTATGCAGTTCGGAAGCATTCTTGCAAAGCATTAATTTTGTGTATTTAGGTCATCACAAGCTTTTATTTTGGGGAATAAACAAACAAGTGAGAGGCAGGCTCTGAGCCTGGCAGTATCTTGTCCCACTCATGAACTCCACAAACTCCGGCCGTGACACCTGCACACACTTTGGAAGCATTTTTATGAACGATCGACAGTCACTGAGAGACGGTTGCAGGCAGGGGATCGAGAGGGTGGGCAAGGCTCTCAGGTTTCACCTGTGGTTCTGAGAGCAAGTAGCGGGTTCACGCTCGGAACCAAGGATGCCCCCAAAGAAGAAGGCATCGCCCAAGGAGCAATGCTGTGTGTGCTGCCAACCAATCACGAAGGACGGGCCTTTTCTGTGCTGGCGATTGCCAGCAATGGTTGCATCGATACTGCGCTGGCCTGAGCAAACCCGGTTATAAGGCAATCACGGAGAAAGGAGCGCCTTTCTTTTGCTTCGCATGCTGTTAGGTTCGACACAGAAGAGAAATGAAGGACACCGTCGAACACCTGAAGGGAGAAATAGCCGACCTAAAATCGTCGCCGCCGTCATCTAAGGTCATCTCTATGACAGACCCCCAAGTCGTAACAGCCCCAGTCGCCGCCCCAAAGAGCTATGCATCCACAGTGAACGCTGGTAGTGGTGAGTCAATCAAACAATCACACACGAATAATAACTCTGAGTCAACCAGAAAGTTTAACATTGTGATTATTGGGGAGTGTAGGCAGGGGGAAAGGTGGCCTGATATCTCTAAGGTGGAGTCAACCCTAACTGACATAGATGGGTCCCTCAAATCAAGTTCCATTATGGATTGCGACCGCCTGGGAAAGTTCAGAACTAACCAAGAGAGGCCCAGACCTTTATTGGTGAAGTTTGTCAGGATACAGGATGTATCAAAGGTATTAGCAAATAAGGGCTGCAAAACTCCCAATTGTTATCAAACCTGACATGACCCGGGAGGAAAGGATTAGGGAGTCGACTCTGTTAAAGCAGAGATGGAATCTGATAAGCTCTGGTATACCAAAACATGCAATCAAAATCGCCAGATCAAAAATATATGTCAACAAGGTCGTTCATGGCACCTATTCACCATCTGGTTTTGTGCTTGCTAGCAAAAGTGTCGCTCAACAAAACGTCACAATCAATAAGCCTCCCAGCAACCACGGGTCTGTAAGTGGGTCTGTAAGCTTGTCCAACTCTACATCCTGTGTTTTGCCTGTGTCTGCGGAAGACACCTCTTTTTTTCCTTCTTTTTTTGCGGACTTGATTAGGGGTGGGCATTAATTGGAAATGTGACTCACCACCAATTGGAATTGTGGGTAGGCATTAATTGGAAATGAGGGTGGGCGCCAACACTTTTCACAGATCCTGGGAAGAAACACACTCCGACAAACAACCCACAGTTTCTGAAACAATGCCACATTCCACTCCCCTTTGTCAGTCACCCACCTTTCAGAATACCCCTGTTCCACTTTCAACCAGAGCTACCTCTCCA